GGGATTGATCTCCTTCAATCGCTGCGTGCGCGACCATCCAGAAGCCCAGGTGGCTTGGCTGGAATTGAAGAAAGTTATCGTATTGATTCTTTTGAAATTTAATGTGAGTTCCTTGAATATTATTCTAAAAGCTGGTCATTGACTAGAAATCCAAATAGACGCAGCTTCTTCATGCCGCAGAGCCTAGCATTGACGCCGACGACAACTTTGCTCCGCCGTCTCTTATGGTTGGATTCACCCCAAGGGCTCCTGGATCTTGAGGTACCAGCTTGGCAACGCATAACTCGTCCCATTCTTCTTTTTATTTTCCAGACCATTGGTGTCGTTTCACCATCGTTTGATTTCTACTTTATTAGCTAAGATACCCAGATAAAGCAATTGCTATACAATCCTTGCCTTCGTTTACGGCATATCTACCTATCCTATGTGATATTCCACCAAGTATCATACAACACAGTACATAGAGAGATACTCCATACTAAGCTTTCAATACGACGAGCACTCCCTACAAGCAATGCCAAGGCCCGGGACGGCGCGTACAATGGCGAAGCGCCCACTTACAGGACTCATCTACACATCCATTGGCATCCATCCAACTAACAAACCCAGCAAAACACCGAGGTGATACCAATAAACTCCATATTGCACTACTATACTACCGAGGATAAAATTATCTCGAAACCACAACCTCTCCTCAACACCACATCCCACCCACACCACCGCAGAATAGCTCCCCTACTCATTCTCATCGACCCCAATCTCGGTCGTCTTGAACTTCCTCGCCGATATCTTTCTCTTGAAAAGAATATCCGCCTCACGATACGACCGATGCTTCAACTCCGGCAATCCAAAGTACGCTCCAACCCACACCACCAGCGCCGTGCACCCCCAGACATACCCGCACTTGCCGGCCAAGTTCCATCCCGTAGTATTAAGCATCCGGGACGACAGATAAATCATCGGAATTTCAGTGATATAGTACGCGGACCGTCCGACAGCTGTACTCAACGCGCGGAGTCGCACCGACGATGTCTCGGAGATGATGGTGTACGAGATAGGACCTTGTGCGCCGGCGTACACCACGGAGATGATCACGCCGAGACAGGCTTGTGCATAGTTCGTCTTGTGGGTCTGTGGTACGGAGGCGATGATACCGAGGATGAAGAGGAAGGTGATGTTCGTGGCGGTGCCGTAGAGGAAGACGGTGCGTCGGCGGAACCAGGAGGTCAGGACCCAGGAGACGGCATTGGCGACGAATTGGAGACAGGTGGTGATGAGGTTCAGTTGGAAGGATTTGTCGGCGGAGATACCGGCCTCTTTAAACATATACAAGTCAGAGAGACACGACTGGGGAAGTTAAGGATGGGGGGTGGGGACTCACGCTCGAAGAAGTAAGTGGCCTGGTTCGCAATCAAGTTACCCGCAAAGTTCTGCGACGCATAAATGAGACAGGTGATGATTGTTCGTCTGCGATCGGTACCCTTCCAGAGATCGAGAAGTGTGGGATTACCGCCTGTTTCCTCTTCGATCTTGACAGTACGCTCGATCATGGCGAGCGATTGGTGGGCTTGTTCTTCGGTTTTGGCGCCCAGGCGTTTGATGGATTTCAGGGCCTCTTCTTTGCGGCCGCGACGGATGAGCCACCAGGGGGATTCTGGGGCGAAGAAAAGGAGGACCATGAGGGGGGTCTAGACATGATTGATCGTTAGTGGTTGTTGACTTATGGCATTGGATGAGAGGAGTGTACCGGGAAGATCCACTGCAAGGCAAGTGGTGCGCGCCATTCCCACTCCGTAGTGAGAGAGTTGTAGCCATATGTAGCTCCCGCGACGATGATGGAACCAATGGACCAACTCATTTGCAGGGTGGCAGTGACTGCAGCGCGAAGAGGGAGAGGGACGACTTCACTGGCGTAGGCCGGGGAGTTGGCGATGAAGAAACCCCATGGGACACCTTCTAGGGCTTGGCCGACCACGAGGAGGGTGAGTGAGTTCGCCTATACAGAAAGATGTTAGGTGAGGTGGAAGTGACATCCATGTAAACAGGCTACTTACGAAGAACGAGATGAAAATCGTCGCATTCATGAGAACCAGACCCAGCATAGTCGTCCAGCGGTATCCGATCCTGTTAGTGATTGGCCCGGCCAGATACACACCGACGAAGGCACCGCATTGGCCAGATTGGAATAGAGCACTTTGCCATTTGGTCGGGATAGCCCAGACACCGGGTGAGGTTTCGACGCCGAAGACCTTGGAGAAGTGATCGAGTGCGACGAAGTTGGTGTTGAGGAACATGTCGAAGGATTCCATGACCTGGGGGGAGCATTAGTATATCAGCATTGCGAAGATAGTTTTGGTGAATGGATGTAGACAAAGCTTACAATGGTGAAGCACATGAGGAACGCCCAGAAACAAGCCCAGGGATACTGCTTCGCAGCCTCCCAGACACCCATCTGATGCTCGTAATTCTCGCCATCGAAGGCTTCATGCATCAAATCGGGGTTATCCAGAACCTCAGACTGGTGGATGTCCACCTTCTCGGTCTGAGGCTTCTCATCCCGTTGTTCGGCGACGCTTTCAGCCGCCATCTTGTCGGATATCAGGGCTCAACCACCGAGTGACTTGGGGAAGAGCTACGAGAGGTGGGGAAAGAAAGTCTCAGAGAGGGGAAGGAAAGAAAAGCATCGGCCAAGAGGGCGGGATGAAGGTCTTAAATTGACCTGACTTGATTATTCTACCCCATGTAACTGTGTGACTTGGAAAGTGAGTGCCGCCCGGCGTTTTCCCCCTTTCCACCACAGCCCAGGAATAAGCAACCCAGCAAGGGCGCAAGTGAAAATGCAGGCCCTCGACCAAAAAAATACGAGCTAAATGAACTCAAAATGAGACAAGTCCAGGTCACTAACGTGGTTGAACATGTGGTTGCTTGTCTCCACAGAATTACCCCATTGGTCCGGGATAAGCAGGGCTAATGTACGGAGTTAGTGAGTTAAGGACCACCAACATTACCCAGCGGTGACCAGCTTTGCGGGGGAAATGCCAATTGGAGATGCGGGGCCCCAGATGACTCCTGAGATTCCCGCATGGACCTCGATTCCTGTCATCCTCGGCTGGTGGTTGGCGGAATATCTCACGCCACAGCGCGTTGGGATTGGTTGTGAAGCCTTTAGCTAGGGGGCGGCCAGGTTACAAGCCCTTTTTGGTGTCACTGAAATCCTCACCATAGGAGGCCTTGCTTGATTTTTAGCTAGTTCCGGGCAAGATATTAACCACGCGACACGTGTGAAAGGATTAATTCAATTCTTTGACGTTGGATAATGACATGGAGGTGTTAAGACTCCGCGTTGGTCGAATGGTTATAATATTGTATGATCTGTAGGTTAAATGCAGCGATGGCTAAGAATATACCAAGCCCTGCCAAGTACCCATTAAGCCCCCTACCGTTTTCTAGGCTTTTCTGCCGAACCCTCGGCTACGTGCAGAGAAAAAGCATTTTCAGTCCCAGTGATAATTTCACCTTTTGGAACTGCTACCTAGTCAAGCCACTTGTGATACATTGACCAAGCTTTGATTTACGCGTGACTTGGTGGTTGCCACTAGCTACATTCAGATGGTCACATTTATTGGTTGCAGTAGTAGCTGATTTCCCGTGGATAAGCAAGCCGCGGCTGGCTGGATTGGATACAACGCCACCGTTGTTCCTGTAAATCCTGGGCTTCGTACAGATGGTATCCCTCTCTAGCAAGCCATTACCTCTGTATCATTACATGTCGATAGTTGCAAGATAGATATTGGTGATGTTCCATTGCTCCTTCTCTAACGTCTGCCTGAAAGCATAACTCAATCCGCGGTCCTCGATTAATCAACAATACTCAATGAACAGCAATATCTAACCGAGCACCATCCAGACCCGGCTAGGCGCGCCTCATTAGGCAAGGATGAAGCCTATCCGGCCTAGTAGGTGATATAGGATCCCGCCACCTGCGGACTAGCGCAAACGCAACATATTCCTTAGAAGTCACCACCAACCATAAATTAATACAGAGACACTGCATGGCGGACATGTGAATTTAACCGAATGCCTTAACAGCCCGACGCTGGGGCCGCATTCTGACAGCTCAACGGTAGCTTTCCCCAGGTCCACGTGCGTGGGCTTGCGGCTTTAGGAAGCTTTCCAAGCTATTGTACGTCCTCTTTTCCATTATTGCGCCACCGTGCTATGGACGTAAGGCGTTTTCTTCCGCGTAGCGGAGGAGAAATAGATGCGTCAGTGCCTTGGTATGAGCTGAGCTTCGTTGGGCTTCTTATACCCCTGTCGCCTTTCGCACACGAACAGGAATCATAGCTTGAGCGCTCTAACCGAATGATAGATTCTATCCTGCCTGTCGATGGATAGTGCACCTCGTTCAAGCAATTTACCAGGCTTCCTAATTTCCCTCGGCTAATATCTGATGTAAACTAGTCAAATTATTACACATTCTGGGTAATCGGAGGTCTGACCTCTCAATATGGTCTGATCTGACGGAAATAATTTACCTCTACTTTTCACGAGCGCTAACGATAAGGTTGCTTCGCTGATGCTCTGATTCTGGTTCCATAGGGCTAGACTGGTTGGTGAGCTCACGTGGCTGTTATAGTTCACTATAGTCTAGTATATGTAAAGCTCTGCAAGGAATCAGAGAGTGGGCATGATAGCTGATGGTAGAGCTTTCATTCTAACAATGCATGCGATCAGCTCATTGCTGTTTGGATTGCTATTATGCGAATAGAGATTGATATAGTACGCTGTTGTTATTACCAGCCAAGTGACATGTCTTTATAGCACACCCGGATAGGGCAGATTCTTCAGTTGGCAGCTGGCATTCATGCCTTGGGCACTAAACATAGCATCGAACTTCCGCAAGGGATGAGTAGTCTTGTCCAACTACCTCAATAGCCTAGCAGATATACACAACTCACATTCAACCCTCATCTTTCACCTGCTAATTTCACATAGCTCTCATGTCCAAGGAGTTAGACGTTAATCCATCGGAGGTTGTATTCCTCGAAACTCTAAAGGAGAGCAAATACTCCGTGGTATTCAAAGTGCGTTTCCAGGAGACGCTATGCATCATGAAAGTGGTAAGCCAGCACCCCCATTTAATATACTGCCTTCTCACTTAATATCAAAGTATCACGATCGGGAGCCAAATGAACTTGACCCTCCCGACCGCATAGTCAACCTCTTCATCTCCGAATCCACCGCCTACCAACGACTAGAATCCAAAGGCCTATGCCAGAGGGGCGTTATCCCAAACTTCTACGGGACGATCAGAAAGATCCAATCGGCTGATTGGCCAAATCTCCACATGTTCCTTGACGACAAATTACCGCCCAATGCTGTTCTTATTGAGTATATCCCACACTTGCAGCAAATTGATCTATCCAACTACACACCACGACGCCTGGCTAAACTCCGCGAGATTCTCGACGATATTCACGCAGCGGGAGTTCTTCATGCTGATCCAAAGCCGCGTAATATGATGGTTTCCGTAGCAGAGGAGGAGGAAAGGGTACTCTGGATCGACTTTGATTCTGCACAGACGGTTTCAGAGTGTGGTGATCTCTCACCAAGACAACGAAGATGGTTCGATCAGGAGGATGAGATGATGGATTATTTTGTTTATGCTTTGGTAAGGCTTCGTGGTCTGGTTGTTCACTGCTTTTGTTTGCTGACTGGGGAATAGGCGAAAGATTTTGAGGAAGGAAAGCTGAATCGCACGATTTCGTACTATTATGAATGGTACGTGTAGATGGAAAAGTTTCTACTTGGATTACACTGGCAGTATGAGAATTTGTTGCTCTGGGTAGTATCTTGAACATATACATTAGTAGTGTCAACGTTGAATGGTTGGTCTTTAGTACTATGTCAGTATCATCTTCCCGGTGGAACACAAGCATCGGAGATTCTAAATCTAATACCATATGGCCTTGCGATATGCCTCTGCTCCTGCAGCACGCTTATTTTACGAAAACAACAAACAGGCAAAATGAGGTAGTATGCTGTTTCGGAAACATACGGAATGAGTGTGTTTACCAGTATCACGTGCAGCCCACTCGGGCTATACCGGAAGTAACAAAGCGCATGCATACACTGAAACATGACATCCTTGCAAGTACGTAGTATTCGCGAAATAGTTACGGGTAGTTTCTTTGTCATTGGTTCATTCATATCTTTCTCATTATATATGTCTTGATAATTCCATCACATCTCAATGAAACTGTGCTGTGTCCAGTCTGGCCAACGCTATGGGTATCAACGGAAAGAGTGCTATTTTTAGTAGTCGTGTGGTGGCCATTTCTCATGCAGCCCAGGCATCCTTCAACACCTTCTGTCCCTGAGCCAGCGTCTTCGCGGGAACCTCGCCCAGCCATTGTGGCTCGAGACGATCAAGGTTCGCCTCAATCTCCCAGGCACGGCCACCCTCGACGTACATCGAGGTGCCGTTGAGTGAGTCGTCCACGAGCACGCCAGCAGCTACCTGGGCCACCTGGAGAGGAGAGCTGATGGGAAGGCCCTCCTCCTCCCACCGGTCGCAGAGCTTCTTTGTTACAGCCGGGTGAGTCTGGGTCATCCAGGGGCAGATGGTGTTGATGCGGAGGTTGTGCTTGTAAGGGGAGATGAAGTAGGGGCGTAGGGAGCGCATTAGGCCTTGCACACCGTGCTTGGCTGCTTGGTAAACAGACACACCGGGGGTTTCCTTGAAACCTGCGGCGCAAGAGAACAATGTAATGGAGCGGTCTACTCCAGGGCCACGGTTATGGCGGAGGTAGGCCCCAGCGAGACGAACGACGTAGAGGGTCCCAGTGAGGTTGACGTCAAGGTCTCTGGTGGATGGGGGCTTTTCATTGTTAGCAGAATCTCTCAGTAGGTAAGTTGTGAGGTAGCTTACCTCGCGCACAGCCTGGAGGCTTAGGGCATGGTCAAACCAGTTCTCCTTTGGTTCCATACTGCCAGCAGTAACAACGACATGATCAATGCGCTTGTAGGTCTTGAATGTGAAGTCAAAGAGATTAAGCACCGATTGGTAGTCCGTGATATCAGTCTCTTGGAAAGAGGAGCGCGGAGGCTTCGGGGGACCTGAGGGGTCCCAGTAGACAGGCCATTTATCACGGCACTTCTGGCTCAAGGGGGCACCGGCGGTAGAATCAACGTCGCCAATGATCACGTAGGCGTTGTTCTCACAGCAAAGCTCTACAAGACTGGCGCCGATGCCATTGGAACCTCCTGTTTCAGGCATACGTTAGCATTGGCGATGTGAGAATCGCAAGACTCGTTTCGGGAACCACGTACCCACAATGAGAACAACCTTTTCCTCCAAAGCTTCCCGAGTGATGTCAGGATGGAATTGGGTGATAGGGGTGGCCGAATTGGAGGACTGAACAGGCTCAGTGGGGGCGATCATTGTGTTAGGTTCGATAAGAAGAAGAGATAGTTTGGCACGATCTAGAATAGAAAAGGAAGGATAGAAGCATAGATTGAGGCCAACAGCTGGGTTTCGAGGGGCCTTTTATGCGGGACGACGGACGGATTGACTCCTAGAAGGCCTGTCTTTAGTACGCCTCTCCCAACCTTGCAGGGAACGAGAACATGTGGTCTCAAGCCAATGAAGAAACAGGAAGTAGAGCTGCTCGCATCTTGGGACTTCTGGGCCTGGTGGGGGCTGTATCGGGAAAGTATAACTGTCGATGAGAGAGCGGGATGAGATAGGCGGCGCAGCTGCACTAGAATCGGATTTCGTTGGACGATACTGAGGGGAACTCCACCACAATTGCTATTCTCCGCCTGCCAGACGTCTTATCCACAGTGGAACGACTGATCGGCGATTGCGGGGGGAGGATGACGGAATCCGGGGAACATCTGGAAAAGTGGGTTTGTTGCTCGAGATAGAGATATGTCGAAGAGAAGAATGGCAGAAAGGATAGCAGTTGCGGATGGATAGGGAAAGTAGGGGGAAGGAGACAAACGAAAGAGAGAAGGTTAGACGATTCGGAGTGCCTGAAAAAAGTCCCACTCGCTCTCCGCGGATCTCGAGTTTCCCCTCTCGAATGACCCCATTCCTATCCCCGTCTCCTCACATTCATCCAAGCCATTCCGATGTTTGGTGCATTTACTCCTTACCATTTTCTAGTCACTACCGGGGTCACTGCCTGCGACGAGAATAATAAGATAACCACATACTGCAGTGTCTACGCCCCCTCCTCACCATGGAACATGAAAATTTAGTCACCCCCCTTTACCACGGAAGAATCATGGATCATTATCCCCTCGAGCTACCCAGCCGTCCTTGGTTAGCCTCCTGCAATCGGTTGGCATCCCGTCAGCCACCCTCTGCAAGCACGGGCCAGTCAAGAACGATACACAGTAGAGGTGGCTGAACTCCATGCCCGAGCCGATAGAGAACAGCCAGCCACGGAGCGGCCAGTGCAACCTTGCACTGTAGCCTCGACAGTGTTGGCGTCGGAGTAATGCAGGGGTGTACTGCTCGAATCAATTGATTAGATGATTCGTAACCCGTTACGGTTACCGAGACAGTTGGAGGCCATTGAGGATAATATACATGATTGGCCGAGGGCGGATTTAGCAGGATGCCGAGACATCATCCCAGCAACGGCTGGCTATGCGTTCCATCCGAGGCTGATAGGCGCAGTGAGGGCCTATCACAGTAACAGGCAGGTATTGCGCGACACCACTGCCAGTGCTGCCACTCGGAAATGGCCCTCATTTAGCCTTTCATGTCATGGCACATCCTGTCGTGGCCTGTGCGCAATTGAGTTCCGTCTCACTTTACCTTTTGAAACGTGCAGCCCGCTTTCTAGGAGCTTACCCTCGACCACGGTACCGCCGATGTCTGCGCAATTGGACGTATTGATGGACTTCAACTACATCAAAACATACATGTGAAGCTAAAAGGTGCGAATGGTGATGCAAGAGGCTTGCCGAAGCAATCATGGTAAGGTCAATGGGGAGGACTCTATCCCAGTACAGCGCTAGGACTGATCACGGAAAAGCACCATCCGAGACTTAGTCGGGGTCTGCTAAGACCTTCATTTCCAGCCAGCAGCAGCTAAACCCGGACGGTCATCCCGCCGGATGGACCTTGCCTATCTTGTTCCATCTTGCAGCATCTGCGGACTACCGTACTCCGTCGGGGATACCTACATGTTGCTCTACGTTCACTTGAGTGCAGGGGCCGTTAAAAGATGGTAGTGATCGGAGAGGAGAATGAGATCGATAGGGAGCACGCAGTAGTGTGGGACTGGATCAGCCGAAGATTCCGATGGAATCGCATCGATACTTCGTTGCCTGTACTTTTTCTCGTGGTTCCCCACTGGCTCCACTAGGCAATTGCAAGTACACAGCATGGTAAGCAGACAACAGCATTGTGCTCAAACCCCTCGCAGACCTTCTTGATGAAGATCGATCGGCTTAAGCATTAAACATTTGCCACCCCCATATCTGTTCAAGTTGATCCTTTTTATCGTCGGTTATGGTAGCCGAAAGGGGGTTACGAAGTAGACTGTTAGACAGTTGATAAAGGGGATCTAGAGGGATGATGCCTGTGGTTTGGATCTCTAGAGCAAACAAGTGATCAGTTTGGAACCGCCGAAATGGGCTGTCGTCGGTCACTGATCGGTTAGCTATTGGGCTATAGAACATAGCCCGGCAGAGACTAATTGACGAGCCGATGGCTCTCTATCTAAAAGCCTGGTAACATTAACCTAAACCTTCGAGTGTCATATGGCCAGCCAGATGGATGTTGCGGGGATATGTGCCCAGTCAGTAGCACCCCGCGATCTTATGGCGCTATGTGCTTAGCACCTAGAAGCTCTGGCAGTTTCACACGGCCTCGCGACCGGTAGAGAGGCCATTTTCACTATTCATTACTCAATGAATGATCGGCCACAGTGAGGCTAAGAGTGGCTTGTCCTTGCGTACTTTGATGCCTTAGGCATCACATGCTAAACACGGCCGTTCGCCGATCGGGCCATCGGCGATCCATGACTTAGTGCCTTAGGCGTTTGCAAGAGTTCCTCATAGAGCACATTCAACTTTCCCAGAAGCCTGGACCCTGTTGCTTATGAAGATGTGACCCATGGTAGAGACCTGCCAGAAGCAGGCAGCCGATGGGGTTACATGATAACATGGTCTACGTCACCACCCGAGCATCCAGACCCTGCCGGTTTATAAATGGATTACCATGAGCAACCCTGGATGACATATGCCGAATTTCAATGGCAACTCCTGATTAAAATGAACAGCTTGTCAAGGTGCTTGGGAAGACAAATCACACAACACGCGAAAACACCTTTCTTCAGGAAGTGCAATACGACCCCACTACGTCTTTCTGGCGTTCATCTCCAAAGATACTCAGACCAGAGCTCAAAATACAACGGCAACATGACTACTCAACCTCCCAAGAACGAGATGGTGTACATGCCAGGGGTGATGTCACCGAGTCGATCGTTTGGAGTATTTCGTAAGGTCCTTCATACTGGCCTGTACTCGCAATTTGTGGCGATGGAAGTCCCGGTCAATGGCGAAATTGGTGACGAGGTAAGCTATTCTTCCCACGAACGACTATTGTGATTTATGAAATATTAACCATGACTTCCAGATTCATACCGTCGATCAAGTGCTGATATTCACCCATGGCACTGGCAAGGCAATTGTTGCTGGGAAGGAACAAGAGGTCAAACAGAACGATGTCGTCATAGTCCCAGCTGGCACTCAACACCAGTTTTTGAATATCGGAAACACGCCACTCGAAGTAGTCACCATATACTCCCCGGCTGAACATGACCCGCGTACAGTACATCAAACCAAGGCAGAGGGCGATGCACAGGAAGAGGCTGGCGAGGATGAAGCACCAGAGTGGAGTCAACGGAGCAAGTCGGAGAACGAGAAGATTGGGCTGGTGAAGGCTCCGTAATTGGCCAATCATGTATACGGAAAGTTATCTGCTGAATATAGTTATGACTTTATGCTCTATCATTATAAACAATTCGCGCGCACATGATAATCAGGCAAGGAGAAGTACTTGTCGCAGAACACTGTAGGTATGCTCCGTCCCGGGGCTCCGTTAAGCGGGCCAAATAACTCAACGCCTAGACAAAAGATACAGTGTATGGTTTTTTATTTGGCATATCGTGCCCAATAATATACGCTTAATCTTGTTTCGAGAATGCAGTTTCCACAAAGACGGTTGTTTCCTTTAACATGGAAAACTCAGTACAAGCTCATTGTCTGAGACGGCAACAACGCATTTTGACGGTACTGACTTTGTGTCTACTCCCGTTTCTTTTGCCATTTAGGCATGATACCATTTGGAGAGAGGACAAAAGTGGACAAAAAATGATTATATTCCTGGCAATATGACACAGGATGCGCTGGAGCTACTGAGGCATGGTCATGCCCAAAAATAGTGTGGCAATATATAAGTGGGAAGTACCCTTTCTTGCAGAGGAATATTCCGAGATCGTACAATGTGTGCAGGAGGAAACCTAGACATTGTGCTGTCACTCTCGCAAAAGAATTCCCGACCTCTAGAACACCGCTTTTTTGAGAAAACCTTGATTATTACATCTTATATGGCTCCCACTGTCCACTCTGTATATAATTTCTTTCTCCTTCCTCTTGTTACACTCGCTGCCGCCGCATTCTACATAGAAACAATTCCCACTATCCAAGCAACAATAGGATACAGCTTGTTGACAGCGACAGAATTGTACCAAGACACATCCTCCAACCTGCCTTCTGATTTTTCCAAAACCCACCACAATTACTCGACGAACACGTGGACCAGTCATACATAACACAAACCTAGCGTTGAAAATGGAAGAGAAGGAAGGCTATCAGACGTTGGGCTTAGAGACGGGAGACACAAATCAGTACGTTACCCGGACTCCGATCATTGGTGCGGAGGAAGAGGAGGTAGCCCCTACTACGAAGAAGAATCTCGACGAACTAAAGAGAGGAAAGGAGGAGGAAGAAGAAGAGAAGCAGCTCCTGGAGGAACAGACGCAGCTCGAGGAGCAGCTCAAGCGGCAGGAGAAAGACGTCAGGCAGCAAGAGGAGATGCTCAGGGAGGAGAGGGTAATGTATGAGAAGGAGAAGAAAATGCTTGAGGAGGAGAAGAAAATGTATGAGGAGGAGAAGAAAATGTATGAGGAGGAGAAGAAAATGTATGAGGAGGAGAAGAAAATGCTTGAGGAGGAGAGGAAACGGCATGAGGAGGAACAAATGCAAATTGAGGATACAACTTTTCTGGAGTATATCCAGCACTATCATGAATCCCTTCTGGATTCCCCGAAGGTCGACTCCTTTAAAGAGACAAACAGCGATATACCCACACCCACCACACAGTTTTGTCCAAAGCGCCTGGAGCACTGGTCAGAATGCGACGATCAACAGCAGCAGATTTACCAGCGCATTTGCGAATTCCTTGAGCCACACGATGATTTTCCAATGCAACTTTTCGATTGCAAGCATTATATCCAACACAATGCAAAGACGATAAAGAGGAACCCAATCCGCTGGCAGAAAGGTCTAGAAATCTACGTGCATGACTCGTTGCACTATCGGGTCGAGGAAGTCATAGAAGAGATCTGTGGCATCCCTCTTGCTCGTGCCGCGTTCAATCTTGTGGGTGATCGTATGAAATACACTGATACCTATCAAGAGCTGCAATCGCGTTCACCAATCTCGATCGAAGACAGTGAGCAATGGACCCAGGGGCCGGAATCATTCTATATTCATGACGTACATGAAAAAAGAGGAGGTATTGCTCGCTTAGTTGGAGAGCTCAGACTCCCCAACAAGTTGACCTTGGAAGTACTCCGTGCAGGCTTGCGGCCGGTGGATTTCTACGCCGAAGTCGTCAAGGCCAAGATAGTCGCACGGACAGAAGCCGAAAGGATCGCCCACAATGCAACACGCCTGGTAGGCGCGGCTCTGGTCCAGGTTTACAACAAAATGATAAGTTACGGGTTCGAATATGGATACATAGCCACCGGGCAAGGATTGATCCTGCTCCAAGTCCCACAAGACAATCCCTCGACCCTCCTCTACCATTTCTGCGAGCCAAATAAAGAAGAAACCCCAGGAAATCCCAAACAGTACTTGCGGCCTGTGACAGCCATTGCACGAGTACTATGTCTATGCATGATGAGCTGTGCCTCGCCGCGTCGGAGTCCTGATTGGTGTGCCAAGATACAAGCAAATTTACCTATCTGGTTGACGGGTTTTGATTATGAACACTTTATTCAGACTCACAACATAATGCCGTCAGATGAATTTTCAGAAACAACGATCTCTTCATCACGCTCCAGCGGATGTATGGTGCCCGCAAGACAATCGCCTACTAAGACCTGTTCGCAGTCTAGCCATTCAGAAAGTGAACATGAAGCTTCTGGAAATAAAGAACGGCATCAACACCGGGATTCTGCTCAAGGGCTCAAACGCCGCTCTAGTATGACCACAATTCCGTCATCATCGTCCGAGAGACAATCAAAACGTCCTAAACTCTCAGAAAGTCCGCCCCGCCGTGAATCCAAAGAGAGTAGACCATTCTGCACACATAAATGTCTGCTTGGCTTGAAAAGACGCGGCAAACTGGATACAAACTGTCCAAACTACAAACTTCACCAAGAGAATGGGTCTAATTATCATCGCACAAATTCTCACGGTCTTGTCAAGCTCATCAAAGGTGCAATCCTTTCCCGTGCGGAACCGATGGGAAAGTGCGGGTTATCTGGTGCACCGTTCAAGATAACCTGTCCCAGGTATGGATATACCATTGTCGGCAAAGGCACCACCTGCTATCTTTGGCCCCAATTGAAGCGTGAGGCAGACATTTACCGGATGCTTCAACCCGTGCAGGGATCTGGATTCCGGTTTTCATCGGAAAGCTTGACATGCGCCACATGATATTTCTGTGGGTAGCGGGAAAAATCCGGCACATGCTACTCATGGGGTGGGGAGGGGAGGAAAGTGACGAGGTCGAGGTTGAAAGACGTATCATGAAGAGAAGCCTATTTAAATCAAACAAAGACATCAAGGCTCTTGGCATTATTCATCAGGACCTCGAATGGAGAAATGTTCTCTGGAGTGCAGAGCTGAATCGGGCTGTGATCATTGACTTTCATTTGTGCACATTTGACATGGACTTGGTGAAGAAGAAGCCGAAGTGGTTCACCGGAGAAAATCCCATGCTTGAAGGGATCAAGAAGGATCAAGAGCGCTTGCATTGCGAATACCATGGCGTATGCCTTCATCCCCCAGATGGAAAATGTCCAAACCTTTTGTTAGACATATATTGACACGACCTCCGCCAGCAGCATGTGGATGTTTCTGTGACATTGATGAAGTTGAGGATCTATGCAATTGTTAGTATCCTACGACGCAGTCTCTAGTGATGAGCCTTTCTCTTCAGCACTTGAAATGTTGTACGTCTTGAAAGGGAACGAACTAATGAGACTTCGTTATTCTTCTACTTCCGGGTTTTAAAACGCTACATTTTGCATCATACTATCACCAAAACGTGGAAAACGAGGCTCGTATTATATTATTTCATTTAATGCTAATGGTAACAGCTGGCTCTAGCTGACAATCCCTAGATGTGATCATGGGGTTATGGCATCAAGACATAGTGGTTGCTCTACCTACTCTGACCAACCGTCAATCTATTAGTATAGCCTACTACCTAGCAGAAGAGAGGCCATAGCAGGCCAGGCTTCAGTTTTGAAGCAGGACCTAGATAGCCCATGTTGTAATATATACTAAGTCCTATATGAGTGATAATCGGCCAAACTAAAGTTGTCGAATACACTAAACGTCAAAATGAGTGAAAGATGGTTAACTGCTAAAAACGTTAATTTAATTAACTACCTTTGTCACCAGTTTGAGGTCACTTCGTAATGATATACGGGAAGTACTTTGCTGTGGCCTCATCTGTTTCAGGTATGTACCAGAACCAGTTATAGAATTATTTAATAGTAAAGACGGTCTTGATAAGATTGACTCCCATAAACACGAATGAGAGATGATAGTTTATAGTTCATCATAGTCTCCCGTTCAACTTGAAATTCGTAGCATATTCAGTGGATCTAATATGAGACGCTTTTATATATATATATACCTTTTCGTTTTAAATTGATCTATTTTCATATTTCTTTTTCTTTATCCCACATTTTCCCCCCTTTTTTCTTATCTTTTCTTGCTTTTTCTTTCCATTCGTTCGTTTCATTTTATTTTTCATTTTTTTTTTTTACTTTATCTATTATAAAAATATTCTTATCCTAAGTCTGGCAACAATGTGTACTAAAGTAAAAAGAAGAATGCGATCGCAACGACCACAAATTGGCTTAGCGTAGGTAGTCATTCTCCCAACCCGAAACCCATCATCATCCTTCATCACCTCCCCCCTCGGAATTTAGCGAGCACCTAGGTAAGTAACTAGCCCATCTCAACTCAGCCTAGTCCATAAGAATCCATCCTACTCTTGTCAACAATCCCCGGGAAGTCTCTCTCCCCTGCTTTTCTCCGGACGATTCAAGACCCGCGGGGTACCGCGCAAATAGTACTGATTGGCCCGAACAAGAACCAACTGGAGCCCTCCGCATTCGGCTCGACCCGCCTATGCGGAGGAATGAGCCAATGGACACTACAAACAATTCGTACTCGGGATATTAGGGGTCTGGGCGCGAAGGTGTGGTTGGTAGAAATGCAGCCTGATGACGAGGCGGTAGCTCGGGATTACTCTTTTTTGCTTACTGCTTTTTTTTTATTTCCAAAGAGAGAGGGGCGGAATATAGCCTAAGTGGATTGGTCTGATTAAGTACAACAGTGCATTATTTCCTTAGAATTACGGCTAAAGAGGGGGTGATCGAGCTGAGTAATTAGCAGCCAATTGTGCATTGTTTGCTCCTTCATGGCTGGCCAGCTTCCAGCCGTTCCGGATAGCCGGGCCTTTCCTTCTGTCTGCCTTTCCCTCCCCTTTGGTATTAGGTTCATCCACACCCAGTTTGAGATGACACTGTTTGCTCCACCACATGCGGCTGGCTTACGCCGAGGGAGGAGTCAGGGCCACATCGTCCGCATGGACCGCCTTCTCGGGAATCTTCTCGGTAGATTCAATCATCTCGCCCTGAAGCAGTGCCGTCAAGCCGATCTCGCGATCAATTTGTTGTCGGAGCGCCTCGTCTTCGGCTGCCATGCCCTCAGAGCCGAATAGTTCGTCCATCTCTTCTAGTGTGCGCCCCTTGGTTTCGGGAACGAAGAACCACACGTAGACCGCTCCGACCACGGTGATGCAGCCGAAGAAGATGAAGGTGCCGTAGGTGGAGGCAGCGATGAAGGGGGAGGTGGCTAGACCGACACCGAAGTTGTTGAGCTGGGAGTAGTCAGAATTGGTGTTTCTATGAAAGAAGTGGTACTGGATCACTTACCCAGTTGCTGCTACCGCCGATACTGACGCCCTTGGCACGCATGCTGAGCGGGAAAACTTCGGATACCACGATCCATGCGCACGGACCTGTTTGATATAGTAAGCATTACTGTCGATGAGAGCGGGTTATTGATCGAATATCACGTACCCCATGAGTAGGCAAAGTTAATGATGAAGATCCACACGAATGCGACTGTTGCCCATCCTGCGCTCTTGTGCTCTCCAAATGTCCCCTCGTACGAACCAATGAGACCCGCGCAGATGAAATGGCAGACCGCCATACCAATCGCACCAGCAAGCAGGATCTTCTTACGACCGATGTTGTCGACCCAGAGAACGGCCGGGATCGTGAAGACAAACTCGAAAATACCCGCAACACCGGTAGCCAAGAGGGATGTCGTATTTCCTCCCAATTCAAGGCCTTCGAAGACTTGAGGCGCGTAGTAGTTAATGGCATTGATTCCGTTCCATTGCTGGAAAAGCATGATCAAGCACTATAGACGTCAGTAATGAAGTCTGTGAAGTTGGGGATAGGTCCTAGCATACCGCAACGCTGGTCCGCTTGAACAGCGATGGGTTTGTGATGAGCGAAAGGTAGTCGTGGAACCCAATCATGAAGTTACTCTTAAACGATCCATCCTGATATTGAGGGTACTTCTTCTTGGCAGTTTCCTCCTCAAACATCTTGAGCGACTTGATCTCCAAGTACTCGATGCGAACCAGAATGTCGTCGGTGGGGGCATCGCGAAGTCGGGCAAGAGTCTGCAGACATTCCTCGTCCCGTCCCTGGTTCATCAGATGACGAGGCGACTGAGGCATGAACAAAACCATTCCCGCAGCGAGGATCAGAGCCGGAAGGACTTGAATGCAAACGGGGATCTCCCAGGCCGCAATGGACTGGCCATCACCCGTCCCGCCAATGTAATTGGTACCGTAGCCAATCTGTCATAGTTAGCTTTTGACTCCACAAGACATAGATAGTATAACACATACCCAGAAGCTGACCATGATACCGAAGGTAATGGACAGCTGCTGCACGGCGACTAGAGAGCCACGAATTTCGGGGGGAGCCTAAATCGTCAACACTCGGGAACATGTACCGGAAAGGCGCTGCGACGTACCAGCTCTGCATTATACAGAGGAACAATCATACTCAGATTACCCACTCCCAGACCTGTAACGAACCGACCGGCAAAAACATAGCCTGCGTTTTTCGTACAAGCCTGGACAATCACACCAACGCAGAAGATGACCACAGCGACAACGACAGTTTGACGACGACCCATGGCATCGGCGAGATAACCGTTCAATAGTGTACCGACCCACGCTCCCAATTCCAGAATGGATGTAAGCATACCCTGCTTAAGACCGGTTCGCGCTGCATATCCGTCGGTCTTTACCTGTTAGTGTTGGTGTGAGACGAGGTGAAGAGATGGCATACCGCTTTGATGAAGGAGTTCATGGTAAGAATTTCGGAGAACATTCCCTGGTTGTCTTTCAAGCCCGTTAGCCAGGTTTTGTTGTCAATGAGCCATATCAAACCTACATCCATAGACGAAACCACCCAGCGACGCGAAAAGCGCAATCGCAAAAGTCTTCTTGCTGCTCAGGAGCCCACGCCATCCGACGCGATTGCCGGCGAGCTCAGCACGCTTGCCGGACACGGCCTCAGCGCCCGCACCCATACCCATATTGAAGGATGATATGGACAGTCACGGTACAAACCCTGCAGACGACCGATGATATGAACAGAGAACAGTGTAATTCACAAGATATGTGAGTGACAGAAAGTAAGAGAACGAAGACCAACGATCGTCATCTCGCGGGGAGCATGCGACATAAAAACAACCGGACCAGGACGCAACGCCTGTCATTCGTCCCGTATAGCTATAGCTGCAGCATCATCCTTTCCTCGACTGCTGTTGTTTTTTTGTTTAGGCTATTCCAATTTGAAACTAGATCAATGTCGCTACTGGCCGACATCGATGTCATGCAATTTCACGAAGTGTGTCCCATAGCCCCATGATTGGGCATTCAATTTAGCCAGACTTCATCCATCGGTGCCAGGCTAGCTAGGTCCGGTAAGGCGTGCTACAATCCTTTTACCCCAAGGATGCGATTCATCCCCGTGGGGCCAGTCGGATGCCATGGGGGCTATGATTAGGCATGGTTTGTCATCGGCGCGCAGGTTCGGCATTGTGGAGGTCGGATTGGATTATATCCGCCGGTTGGATACAAGCTTCGTGGCGGGCGGCCTGGCAATGGCTACGCCTGGCGGTGCTTGGCAAGCGCTAGCCGGGTGACACGGTTGAATGATGACATCAAGTACGTAGGTTGGGACAGAGAGGATCTTGTGGGATGGTATGAAAGCAGCCAGTGGCTTTTGCGGGGATGGGAGAAAAGAGGGGAACCATGGTAAGGGCGAAGGGGCACGACCACCACTGTCAATGGAAAAAGCGGAGGTAGAATATGGGGGAATGCACAAGACGGATCTCGACAGCAGAAGAGAGACCAGACCATTCTCTGACAGGCAATGATAATCAGATTTAGCCGGATTTCCCCTACAACCACCAAACTTGCAGCCATCAGGCCGGCACAACAGCCGGAAGTCAGCCCATGGTTAGGAAAGCCTCTTTTTCCTCACTGGCTGGTCATGAAAATACCCATCGAGCGTTAGGCTCTGTTCTTAGACCACTGAGACGATGTCTGATCACTGGGTTTGCCACGAGTTGAGCTTCTGCGACACGTGGAATGTCACCTCGCTACTACAGCCCATCCAGTGTCTAACGCTAAAAGCCCCTTGCGTCTCACACTCTGCGCTGGCGTATGCCGGCCACTCAACCGATCAGCGCCTGATTCCGCTCGGTCGCACTTGGTACTACCGTGATTTCCGCTTTCCAGTCTGCTGCTTGCTCGAGCCGGCATCCTTCGCACGACAGATGGCTCGGGCCACCGTCGAGAGAATCGGGGTTGCCAGGATATGAGACCACCGACCTCCTGGTCCCGGCCTTTCCAGGTATTCAAGTCCGAAGCCAACAGCTGCTCGTGCCGTCAGCCGGGCCCCCACTTGTGACTCACGCGCCTTCCTTGACTTGGGGTAACATTCAAGCAAGCCGAATCCATGGAAGTTTTATTTGGGTTGGTGGTCAGATTGCGAGAGATGCATGCGAT